TGCTTTGCAGCCTCCTGGGCAACTCCGGCAGGTGCAGTTGCCTTTTCAATTTGATGCTATTTTTCTTAGCCTCTGCAGGCGCTCACAAGCAGAACTATTATTACTTGCTTGTTACTGCATGTTGCTGATTCATACTCAGAGGAAAAAGTAATTTTGTCTTCAACACCTCTTCCCTGTCATTTAAGGCATATGTTAATGAAAGACAGATTTTGGCATCCACTCTCCTCTGTAATTTTGAGGCCACAATATAGATTCATTATAAATGAAGACACAACTGTTATTTTACTTCTATTTATATTTATAACTACACCAAAGCCATCTTGCAGGTACCTTTGTGCCTCTCAAATCCCAAACCATATTCCAAGAAGTGCTCAACATTTCATGCTTGAATTGTCATTAATGTGGTGTTAATGTATAGACAATGTTTTAAATAAAGATGCTTTCTCTCATATTTTATTATTGACTTTCCCTGAATTCACATATTTTAGATCATGCCACAGCTGAATCCCTCCGAAGACATTTTAAGGGCTTTTTCTCCCCTTGTAGCGCAGACTGATTTTTTTCCCCCTTGAAGTGAGGAGTACGCAAGTGATGCCTGCTGGCGGGGAGCCAAATGGAAGGCTGGGGCGGGAGGGGCTTGAGCAGAAGGAAGCCTATGCAGAATGCTGAAAAGAACAGATCTGAAAGCTTTTGCTTTGTCATTCCTCTCAGTTCCTTTCCTTGCCACTTTGTAAGTGGGGGACAAGCACAACCTACTTACTTCAGAGAATCGCCAGGTCTATAATCAGCCTTAACCTTGAAGGTCCTCTGACCCTAATCCCAGTCACAGTGCAACACTCACCCCACTTCACTCAGGATGTGTCTTTCTTTGGCATTTTTGCTGAGCAACATGGGAGCCAATGAAGATAAAAGTGCACTGCTGAAGGGTTTCGGAGATGGCTCAGCAGAGAGGGGCACAGGAGGACTGCCATTTGAACTCCAGCACCATAGTGCTCCCTGAATATGATTGGGTATGGTCCTGGGGGGGCACCTAGCAACACAGGGCCATAGTAAGCTCCACATCCTCAGACCCTGGCACTGAACCACAAGGCCGGGCCATCACTGCAAATGAACTCTGAGCTCCCTGTGCCTCACTCTCCTTGCCACCAAAATGCACTATTCCTTTTGGGGGCCTCCCAAACAGTACTCAAGGAAGCTGGGAGGCCCATCCTGGCGATTCTTTGGCTCATAGCTCAATGCAAGGGCCTGAGGATGGGGTACTGCTCTGGTCCTGTGGTGCTGGGGATTACCTGGGACACTGCAGCAGTGCTCAAGGACCTCCAGGGCTGTGGTGCATGATGCTTGGAGAACCATGTAGTGCCAGGGATTGAACAATAGTCAGCAGCATGCAAGGCATGTGCTTAATTCCATACACTCTCTTCAGCCTTCAAAAATGCATTGACAAGAGTGGAGGTCCAATTCGGGCCCAAATTGTGGTTCTCCTATTGGTTTAGCAGTGATATTCTGGGCAACTTACCAATATCATAGAGTCACAGTCTAATGCTACAAGGAAAACCTAACTCCTAGACAGAAGAAGAAAAGGAGAAACAACTAAGTACATATACTATGGTATATAATAAACAACGGAGCATTTGGCTAAATACAGAGTAGCTAACTAGTTTCATAGGGCCCAGGACCCATGCTTCCTGTCTGACTCGCAGAGGCAAAATTTTCCAAAGCATCTTACTGTTTTTCTTACAAGATATCATAAAACCATTGAAAAAGTTTCTGTTACTCTGTACGCAACCCCGTTGACTGTAAATTCTGTTATTAATAACAACACCTCACATATATTCAGTGCTTTGGAATTTACAATGCGCTTTCACAAGTGTGGAAAAATACCCACACCGACATGTCAGCTACTGATGACTAACAGTGGCAGGAAGCAGAAGGAGCTTCTGCTCTGAAAGGGGTCTATTAGTGATGCAAATGTAAGTTATCTGCACTTGTGAGGAACATAATAAACATTAAAACCAATTAGAAGTAACAATGTGTGATATATTCAGGCTTCAGAACTTGGCTTTAATTAGTTGAAAAACCAAAGGATGGAGCAGAGAAGTTTGGGGGGACAAATTTGAGTCACCTGAAGCTTAATAGCTGAAATGGTTAGATGACCAGGAGGAAGGCTCTTTGCTTATGAGTGAATTTTCATGTACAGTCCAGAGTAATGAGTTTGATTATATAATGACAGAAAACTTGATGTGGTCATAACCGAAACACAACGCATATGGAACCGAGACAAGCCAAGCAGGTTAAGTTCTCAGAAATCAGTATTAACTTGTGTTTCAATACAACATATGTGTCATACTGAATGCAAAACTTTTAATAATAGAAGCTGTTAGGTTGGCTTCCTCGCAATCTTCTAAAACAGCTCTTCATGTGTGTGAGAAGTTTTACATTTGGAAAATGCTCAAAAGTGAATTTTTAGCCAGGGAGAAAAATGGAGGGTGCATTTTCAATACAGTGTATTTCATTGTTTCCATATTGTAAGAAGATGAAAGAACGCATTTTCTGGTAAAGAAAGAGAATGGTCTTTTTGAAATTCATCTCTCTCAGAAGATAAATTTTTAAACAGCAAACTGGCTATCTAACTGGCTCTTGCTTTATGAATGTGAAGGGACCATTCGGATTTCTTGCAGTTATCAAATAGTTCAAATGAATACCCAGAAACATCTATTACTTCCTGCTTTCTAATTACCTACAGGCAATATTTTAAATCTATTTTTTTTGTCTTTTCCCCTTAGACCAGGTGTACATTTGTGACTACCACAAACTCTTAGTTTGGGGTTGGTTCAGGTAGAGCTAAGAGCAAGAAGGGCAAGGCTAGCAGAGGACACTGCTGGGAGCGGGCCTCCTGGAGCCGGGCAGAGGAGGATGATGCTAGACAGCACCCTAAAGAGCATCCATTTTTTTGTCTCACAGTCCAAATTTGGTTGATGTATTTTTGAAGTTTCTAAAGGTTAACTATATGCTGTAATACATTACAGAAAGACACGAAGCCTGAATTTCACTGTGCCAGTCAAGAGGTTGGCTTGGATCTGCTATTTAGGACTGAGAGAGACAGTACAATTTACATGTGTGAGAATGTGAGAATAATTTTACCTTCTGTTGTTTTTAAAACCACCTTGGGCCATGATTTTTAAATTGAGACACAAGAAGATCTGCTGGGGTTCCCATAGCAACATTAACTTATCTAACTGCCCTTGCTGTATGTAAAACTTTCATTACTAGCTTGGCTTTTAAATGTATACTCTAATTAGGAAGCATGACTGAACTGAGGCTCAGGCAAATTTTAGCCTTTCATTTACTGATTGATGCACATGTAAACAGGTACCTTGATACCTTCTGTCTGAGGACTTACAACTAAGAAATTATACGAGAAAAACTAATGTGATCTCCTTTGCCCCTGATCTTTGACCTCACTGTATTTCATTCCAACTTCAACACTCTCTCTGAATACATTTAAAACATGCTATGGCTAGGATAAGATGAAAACTAAAACAAACTAGCCTTATACGGTTCTGGCTCAGAGATTACAACCGACATGCCATCTATTTAAGGGCAATCCCTAACCCATCTTTGCTCCATTATTCTTCATCACGAATATCCTATGCTAAAGAGACTTGTCATCGCATGAGAACTTACAGTCAAGGATTAGCCCAATACCCACTTCCAATCAGAACCCAGACTCTTCCCCATTCCTTCATAGAGCTGATCTTTCCCTTTCTTCAGAACTGTTACTACTATTGACTGCTATTACCACTATATGAAGTATTATTTGTTTACTTTATTTTTTGTTTATCTGGGCCACATCCAGCAGTGCTTGGGTGTTACAATCCTGCATTAGTGCTTGAGGGTCACTCCTAGAGATGCTCAGGGGATGATGTGGTGCCAGGGATTGAAGTTGGGCCTCCTGCATGCAAAGCCTGTGCTGCATTCATTACCTCTCCAGTCCCTGAAGTGACGTTTGTGTCTACAAATACCATCTTTATATTATTGAGGGCATCTTTCCCCTCTTTTCTTGATTTTCCTTTGAGGAACTTTCCTCCATTCCACTTCTTATGGTGGTGCCATCAATGGACACATTGAAGTTGGCACACACAACTTTCACATATCACTGGTGGCTCAGTGTGGTTCAATTAACACACAACTTTCACATATCACTGGTGATAGGGATTTTCATGCTTTATTTTACCAGCTACCTTCTATTCATACTTCCTAAAGAAATGACTGGGTCTTTATTTACTGTATTACTTATAAATCCAGTACAATATAAGTACTCAATGTTGTGTAACAAGTTAAAGGCCAATGCCAGAAATTCTATTTTTATAAAGTGAAATTTACATGCCAACTTATAACCTTTTTGATGCGATGTGGCAAATTATAAACTATTTTTGTTGCTGTTTTGTTTTGGGGCCACACACAGCTGTGCCTGGCGGCTACTGCAGCCACAGTGGTTGGATGGTTGCTCCTGAAGATACTTAGGAGACCATGTAATGCTTGGGATCAAACCAGGACTCTCACATGCAAAGCATAGGGTCTCGCTTTTGGCATTAAATCCTTGGCCTGATAATTAAATTTTTAACTGCTATAATTTAAGAATTTTCTACTATAGCAATTACTTAAAGAGAACTTGTAGGGAAACAGTGACAGTACAGCGGGTAGGGTGTTTGCCTTGCATGCACCAGAACTGGATTCAATCCTGGGCACTCAATATAGCCACCAAGTCCTGCCAGAAATGTTCCCTGAGTGCCAAGTCAGGAGTAAGCCTGAGCCTCCACAGGCGTGTGGCCCCCAAACTAAGTTAAATAAACAAATAAAGAGAACTTGTAACAACTTGTATATCGAATACACTGAAAATAATATTAGCATGGGTCACACCCAATCTTAGGAAAGAGAAACAAAATTTTATTTTTTTAATCATCAGCTTTTGAATTAAAATGAAAAGTCTGAAGAAAAATTGACCAAAAAAATAAAAAATAATACACATTCATCTCGGTCAGGTGACCTGCCTGGAAACAAGAAGAGTTGGCAAGCTACTATCAGAGAGCTATAGAAAGAAGCCAATTGTGTTTGATAAACACACTTAAACAAAACAGACGGTTTTCTTCTACTTCTAAAAAATGGCAGGTTATGAGTTCTCAGAATGATATGACTTAGTGGTTTAATCAAATAGTTTTAAAAAATTCAAAGAACAGAAGCTGGAAAGACAGTACAGTGGGTAGGGAGCTTGTCTTATGAACAACTAATCTGAGTTTGATCACTGACACCCCATAGTCTCCTGTGCCCCACCAGGGGTAAACCCTGAGCACAGAGTCAGAAGTAAGCCCTGAGCTTATGCTGGGTATGGTACCAAAACCAAAACAAAACAAAAACTCAAAGAAAAACAACAAAAAAGTTTAGACATAATAAATTTAAACAAGCTTGAGTATACTAAGTTCTGAGAAGCAGAATAGGGTGCATTCTTCAGATCACTTGCATGGGCTCAGTATGCACAAAGGAGCTCACTTATGATAATTTAGCAGGGTATATAAAGTCTCTCCTTTTCTTATGACTTTCCAAAAGTATAAACTTTACAGAAATCTTCAAGTAATGCAGTCCTCTTCTCTTCTTAACATGATACATAAGTTCAAACCATGAGAAAGAAGAGAAAATGCTGATTCGAGCTTTTCTGAGTCAACAGTTAGTGGTTTAAGGAGCTTGCCTTGAACTCATACTTGGTGTTATTTTCACTTTTTTTCCTTCTATTAATTTGTCTGTACATATAATGGTTTCTGGAATTTGCCTTGAACCCACACTCGGTGCATTTTCACTTGTTTCTTTCTATTGACTTGTAATCGACGATCAACCAGATTTTGCTTCTCTTCTAAACCAGCCTTGCAGAACATATCATGGACTTCTCCTGTAAGTAAAAAATGGCAACCAAATGTATGACATATTACTGTAAAGAAGTCAGAAACAATGGAACATGAATGGAAGCATTATGCAACTAAATTTCATTTATACCAAGAAACGGGCCGCGCGACATCTTATCAGGACATATTTTTATGATATCTTATTATCTCATTCCTACTCTGGACAAACTTGCAGGCTATTGCATATAGCCTGCCCACAGGGCAAAGTCTGGCAAACTCCCCGTGGCGCACCAAATATGCCAAATACCAGTAACAATGATGGGTCTCATTCTCCTAAAGAGCCTTGAATATAATCTCAGGGCTAGGAAGAAAGAGATGTTACTGGGGCCTGCTCGAGGCAATCGATGAATGAATGAAAAAAAAAAACCAAGAAACATTCTCTATTACAAATTATTAAAGGAAGACTATGAAATCAAGTGAAATCTTTTTCACATTAGTGTGCCAATTTTCTTGAAGCTGCTGGTCGAAGAGTTCACAGACTGAAGAAGCACCCTTCTCTGAGCAGACTACTACCTCTAGAGCTCATGAACTTGAGCGTCTGTCAATTACAGACCTCTGGTAAATGAGGGAGAGCTTCAAGAGCCCTAAAGGAATCTGCAACCATTGATCAGGGCATAAGATCTAGGCAACACCTTTCTTCCTTATGTAAGATTCATGGTTTTTCTAAGCTTAAAAAATTTTGATATTGCACAAAATGAAAGAAATATTAAGTATAAACAGACTAAAACAGCTGACAGAAATAGATACACAACACTGCTGGTTGAAGTTTTCAATATTTTGAAAGGTGCCCCTTCTCTACCTCTCTAAATTTGTTGACTTGAAGAGACCTCAAATGGCACATTATAAACATCCTTATATAAGTTCAAGGAAAGTCCTTGAATACAGGATTCATTTTAGATGTTTTTTTAAAATGAGAAACTGACAAGAGATAAATTATTTTCTATAGATTCTTAGAATTAAATTTCTTCCTTTGGCTATGACATGTCATCATTTTTTTTTCATCTCAGGGCTAATACTACCTCCAAAATGGAACAGAGAATACCTTCATTTGGGTCTAAGGATGAAACAAGTGATTCTTTAAAGCAGTTTCCACTGGAAAAATATTAAAAGGCAAAAAGGCCATTTTCAAATTTTTACATAGAACACAGTCAGCAAAGTTTGAAAACATCCAATATTTAATCAACTACTGTAGCCTCATTTTTAGAGCTTTTGAGCTTCTCCCTGAAATAATAACCACAGAGTTTTTATAACTAATAATTTCTTCTTACAGGTAAGCATACCTTCTGTAAAGAAATATGCTCTGGTGCCATCTCCTCGAACATAAAAATTTTCAGATAAACAATGTCCTAAAAAAAAAAAAGGAACTTAGTGTTTGTTAAAACAAAAACAAGAACAAAAAACTTGACAATATGCAAAGCATTCCTTATGACATTCCATTCAACACCCTTTCCACCTGTTATAGGCAACGAGGGTGACCGCTGATAAAAAAAACCCTCAGACTCATTATGTGTCTGACTTTGAAATAATTTTTGGGTGCTGTGTATTCAGAAAACTCTTATTGCTGCAAAACTTTTAGTGACCCCCCCCCCCCAACATCAGTTATGTCCCCAGATCTGTGACCCATAATTTAAGAAACCAGGCTTTATAACCCATGAAATAACTACAGGGGTTAAGGTGTTGCATGAGGTCAACCCAGTTTGATCCCCAGCACTGCCTATGGTTTCCTTAAGCACCATCAGGGCTAATCCATGAACACAGAGCCAGGAGTAATCCCTATGTAAGCCCATGTGGCTCAAAGACCCTACCCCACCCCACAATAAAAACAAACAAACAAATAAAAAACCAACTTCAAGCAGAATATACTATTACCACTTTTAAATCGAAGTTGAGTCTTATCATATCTTCCATAGTCCCGAAATAACAGCATTCCCCCAGGTTTCAGTAACTTGCTCAGTCGGTTTATAACACTTTGCATCCTTTGAAAACAAAGCAAGGTTACTCTGCTTACTGAAACCTTGTTTCACATGCTACACTTAACCTTCTTAAAGATGATGTAAGAAAAGCTCAATAAAGCCAAATTACTCTAAATATGAGCATAAGGGTCATAAAAACAAATATTTTACATAGAATGGAAAAGAATGCAAATTTGCTAAATTATTAGATTAAAAAGGTACAGAGTGGTATATAGAAATCACCCAAATGACCAGTACTAACTTCACAAGGTTCACAGAGGTTGTCAACACCAAAATGCAAAACCACAGACATTTCCTGATATTTACAGCAAATTAAGGTAGCTTTCGAGCCAGATAAAAACTAAAGTCACTTTATATTCTTTGCAAGATAGATAAAAGATAGAGCCATGCCAAATTGTACACCGTCAAATGAATCATTTTTCCTCCAAAATGAGCTCCTTTTTCCTCCTGATTATTTAGTTTAAAGATAGCATCATTCACCAAAGTATAGAACCTCAGAGAAATCTTTGATCCCTTTCACTTTTCTCTTCTGCTATTCTCTCCATGATCATTTGATCATCAAATTGTACTTCTTTTTTTTAAATGACATCTTTGATATTTTCTCTTTTGTTTCCCATTCATTCTCCCTTACTGTAAACTCCTATCTTCTTAGGGATGGAAACAGAATAGCTTCTTAACATGTTTGATTATTCTCCCTGTCATTTCTTCCTGCATGTTACAGATTTTGTTTAACATGGTTTTGTTGGGCAAGAGAGATAGTACCAAAGGGAAGTCACTTTCCTAGCACCACAAATGATCTCCCAGGCAGCCCCTGCAGGGGGGAAAGCTTCGGGGTGTGTCACCTTCCAACATCCCCCCCCCAAAAAAAACCTACCCCCAAATGATGGTTTTGTCAAATTGTCCCTTTGCTCAAAAATTTTCATGATTTTAATTCATACAATAAACATCTTAATTTCTTACATTGAGACACCTTAAGAGCTACAAATGACCTCAACTGATCTTTCTACTATCTTTCAACTAATCTTCCCTAATCTTAAGCATCTCCTCTAGTCAAATGTTACAAGCTTGCTCTGAGCAGTAGATGCCTTCACTCATGTGATTTCCCCTCAGAGAATTCTATTCTCCTTACTATTTAAATCATATTTGCATGGCAAGCCTTTATTTAATTTCTTTGTTTACTTTACTGATGCAGTTCCCAGTCAAAGACTGCAACACCTTCGAACAGATCCTGATTTAATGTTCTTTTGGTTAAGTGTTCATGGCCTTTACGTGTGATTATGGACGAGAGATGGCAAAAATTTAAAATGTTTTAGCGATGCTGGGGGGCTGAGAGTGGCTGTTTATAGAGCTCTACTGAGAAAAGCTCAGCAGGAATGACCAGCAAAGTACAAAATCAGCCCTCAGTATCTGCCTTCTTAAGACAGCAATAAAGGGGAGCATGTCTGGATTCCCTGCAACTTTTGCTTTATCTAAGCAGCATACAACCTCTGAATATTCTGTTTTTTCAAAATGAGGAATTCGGATCATATAATCTACAAATTTCTCATTGATTAGAATAATGTGTGTGTGTGTGTGTGTGTGTGTGTGTGTGAGTGAGTGTGTAGCACTGTAGCACTGTCTATAGCACTGTCTTCTCATTGTTCATCGATTTTTGCTCGAGCTGGCACCAGTAACGTCTCCACTGTGAGACTTGTTACTGTTTTTGGCATATCAAATACGCCATGGGGAGCTTGCCAGGCTCTGTCATGTGTGCGGGATACTCTCGGTAGTTTGCCGGGCTCTCCAAGAGGGATGAAGGAATAGAACCCAGGTATGCTGTGTGCAAGGCAAACTCCCTACCTGCTATGCTATCGCTCCAGCCATGTGTGTGTAAGATTGATTATATCAGGTATATATGAGAGAGCGAGAAAATAAAGTACAAAATGAGTGAAGTATGATAGAAAGAGGTAACATAACTAGATAAGCTCTTTTACAAATGTAGCATAGGCAGCCATACCCCACCTCCCACATCTGTTGTCATGCAAACTCATCTCTCTGCCCAGCTTTACAGACTCATGACTAAATCTTGGAAGAGATGCAAGCCAAGCCAACTAAAATTTATGGGTACACCAGTCTCTGGGCTGTAAACTCTGGGCATCCTTGGGAGGGAAGTGGGCTGAGTCCCCGCTATGCTGAAGCCCTGGCAGCTGCACCCACACCTCACAGCTGCCTACATGCCATGGCCTCAACTCCACTGCTTCTTGACAAATCTCTGAGGAAACATCAAACTGACAAAAATTCCAAGTACACCAGTTTTTAGGCTGGGAACTCTGGGGCATTCTCAGAGTGGGGCAGGCAGTCTCCTCTTCCCTTCTGGCAGCCCCGGAAGCCCTGGCAGCCACGCCAACTCATCAGCTTGGTGCAACAGTTTCTAGAGTGTACGGTTGCATATGTGGCCCCGCAGCACCTTTAAATTTCATAATACTGACATTCCAGTAGGAACACACCAACTTAGATGAGGAAGTAACATAGAAACCAACTGAGTTCAATGAACACAGAAGGCTCAATTAACAACAAAAAGCACAGTAAACTCCCAGACAAGGACTGAATGATCCCATAGTGAGATATAATGATTTTCACAAATTTTCTTTTACTCCATTTCTTAAAATTCCATTATTCATTAAACAAGCAACATAAAATAAATTATTTTGTGCCTGCTAAGGGGGTAGGCATGGGGGGCGGGTGGCTGAAAAAATGGGGACATGATGGGTGCTGGAACACTGAATGTCCAAAACAACTATATTATAAACATCTTTGTAAGGCACGGTGTTTAAAAAAATTTGTAAAGCAGTTTAAAAAAATTTTTTTAAATTAAAAACAGAAATGAAAATGGAACATAAGAGCATGAAAGAGAAAAATAAAAGTATTTTTCTTGTTTATATTTTACAGGTTATTTTCATACTGTGATTGTAGCCTTCGACTTAAGCCATTAAGAAGAGTATGGCTGAACCTTAAAATACCTGGTTTCAGGATAAAGATTTCATGTACAGGGGCTGGAGTGATAGCACAGCAGGTAAGGTGTTTGCCTTGCATGCGGCTGACCCGGGCTCGATTCCCAGCACCCCATATGGTCCCCTGAGCACCGCCAGGAGTAACTCCTGACTGCAGAGCCAGGAGTAACCCCTGAGCATTGTCAGGTGTGACCCAAAAAGCAAAAAAAAAAAAAGACATTAAAAAAAATTTCATGTACAGAGAAAAATTTGTCTCTGCAACTGACAGTAAAATATGCATGAAGAAAAATATAGAAAAAACAAAGAGCCAAATACTTCAAAATGTATATACTTCCTTCAGCAAATCCCTCCTTCGTAACTACCCTTTAAGGTCTACAGTTGTGAACAGAGACCAGCAGTGGGGTTGTGAGGGGTGTGAATAAGCAGCAGCAGTGGGGAGCTGCTGGTTTTGATCCTTCCATTTTGGCCCCTGAGTAGTTCCAGAGTCAGCTCCTGAGAATGAGCTGGGGTGAAGTGACTAAGGCAAGATTGGAAGAAAGCTTCTTCGTTTTTCCCCTTAACCGACTGTGTTAACCTCATCTAACTCTGGAGAGAAGGAAAGGAGAAGGAAACAGAGTAGATTAAAAAGAAAAAATGAATATTTATTGATTTCTTCTCTACGCTTGGGTCTGTGGTAAACATACTTTTATTTCATGGACTAGAAGAATAGTTGACTTTTCTTTTGTGGTGTTCTACAGTTTATTCCCATTTAAGCTGAAACCCCCACATTCAAGGTCTAGCTGAATTGCTTGTTGTTCATTTGTGCATGGATTTTAAAAGCTGGGAAGAAGCCACTTTTCCAGAACTTTCCTGGAGCTGAATCTATTACCATAGTATTAAAAAACCTAAAAGAGAAATACCTTGTCTTTTCACTTACTGTTGTGTGACTTCTACTTGATTACCTTATTTTTAGATCATTTCCATTTAAGGTAAAGTGGCTACTGAGCTGATCATCTGAATTTATTTTATAATAAATAAATAGAATGAACATACTGTACTATAAAAGCAATCTTCCCAAGACATCTGCTTCCCCTTCTCTTTAACATTCAATTCAAATCATGAGAAAATACATGATCTAAACGAATTTCAAATAGTCTTTTTGTGGTCTTTTTTGGAATTTAAACATTTCCTGTTATGGGTGTCAAATAGAAAATCTTGTTCTCTATCCTCCTACTCCATCCTTTTAACTATTCTTCCTTTTAACTATGAAACAAAATACATAATTAAATCTTTCTACCAGTACCTGAATAATGCCAATAGTCTAAACAGATTAGCAGAGAGGAACAGGTTATAGAAAATGGGAGAAAAAAGTAGTTTCATGGAACCTGAGATATCTTACCAGGTACACATACAGCTTTAGCTTAGATTTAGAAATCTAATTTGTTTTTCAATAAGTTATCAAAACGGTCCTGTCTAAAAGAGACATACCAGAACTATAAAGGGTCTTAGTGAGTTTGCAATTGCAGTTTTTTTGGGGAAAGGGTCACACTCATCAAACAATAGACAGATGATGCCAAGTCTGTGTCTGTTACTAGAGGATCAGGAAAACACCACATTAGGAAATTTCTGAAGGCAAAATCTCTGACAAACCTTCCCACATATGCCTTATACACATGATGTGGCAAAAATGTAAGAAAAGTGACCATTATATTAGTGCATCACTGTATCACTGTCATTCCGTTGATTGTCGAATTACTCAAGCGGGCTCCAGTAATGTCTATTCCTCCCAGCCCTGAGATTTTAGTAGCCTTTTCTTACTCATCTTTTCCCAATGACTGGAGGCTCTTTCAGTGTCAGGGGAAGGAGATCTGTTGTCGCTGCTATATTTGGTATATCGAATACGCCACGGGGAGCTTGCCAGGCTCTGCCTGTAATTATTAGTGCATACTAATATGCACTAACAAGGGATCACACCTTGGAGGGATTTGGGAGAATTTACGGGATGCTGGGGATTGAACCAGGGTTGGCCATGCAAGGCAAGCACTCTATCTGGTGTACTATCTCTCTGGCCCCACCAAAACAACTTTTTAAAGCCTGTCAACAGACCAGTATGAAGCCAAACAGCTAGTACAATTTCCCTCTTGGGAGTCGATTAGGCTGTTCTGAATTTGTAATTTCCTTGAACACTGTCATTTTTAATAGGTATGTGTCTTGCCAGAATATGTTCACTTCATTCTGACAGTGACAGAAAGCTCACTAATGAAGTAGTTTGACCAGCTCCTTTCTAAAAGTCTGAAGGAAAAACTGCATTTAAAAGGTTGCATATTAAATATAATGTCGTTCGCTAAATAATAAATTCTTGAATTGTCATTTTTGCTTTGATAGTTCTGGAAACCACTACTGATAAAGGAGTTTTACATGGTTTCTGTGCCCTTTCATCTTCATTTACCTGTCAGGATGAATAGAAGAGAGCACAAAGACAAGGAGGATGACATCCAGGATCTCATCTGGAAAAGGGTAGGGTAAGCCATCATCACAGACATCATGAACGAAGGCATGGCACTGAGCTGCTCTATAGGAAGAGTGCGACTGTCACGAAAAAGAAACCAAAAGGGCGGGCAAAGTAATTAGCAGACTTCTAGTATTTTTTTTAAATAAGAAATAGAAGAGCCTCCTTTTTTTTTTTAACTTCCCCCAAATGCCTGCTTCTGTAATTTGAATGTTTTGAGCTGCCATAAAATACTTAAGTCGAGCCCTTGGACTTGAGAACAAATATTTGTTGCAATCCCATTTTAATTTTGAAAGTTGAGTAGGCAAGACTTGAGTCAGTAAGCAGTATTTTTGGAAGCCTGCCTAGTATTCTTAATTTTAAAATTTTATTTATATGTAAGAAAACAAAAAAAATAATTTCCTTTAGAGCCCCCCCCCCCCCCCATCCTTTCTCCCATCTACCACCCTCTTCCCTTGGATAACCTGTTTGTTGTACTGACTAGTTTGTTTTTATTTCGCTATGTCCTTTCATTAAATTTAATTATATTACACACAAGCAGTATCTGGTATGTCTGGTATATCATCCACTTAAATTTCTTTTATTTGCTATAAATGACAGTTTTGCCTTTTTACAAATAGCTAAACAGTACTCTAATATATATATATATATACACACACATGTATCAATGTGCACATGTGTGCGTACACACATACACACACACACACACACACGTTTTCCTTATCCAATCATCTATCAATGGGCACCTTGACTGTTTCCATGTTTAAGCTATTGCAAATATCACTGTGTTAAACATTGGGGTAGACATAATTTTTCAAGTTTATGTTTCTTCAGAAGTATGACTGTTGAGTCATAGTATGACAATTCTTTTAGCTTTCAGCGGAGTCCCATACTATTTTCCAAAATGGCCACACCAAATTACATTCCCACTAAAAACTTCCTTTTTCTTCTTATCCTCATTAGTATGTACGTGGTTGTATTTGCTTTCATGTAAACAATCCTCATGAGTGTGAGGTATCTTAATATGGTTTTGAGTCCATTTTCCTAGTGAATGATACTGAGCATCTGTGTGTGTGTGTGTGTGTGTGTGTGTGTGTGTTTTCTTTTTGGGTCACACCCGGTGTTGCACAGAGGTTACTCCTGGCTCATGCACTCAGGAATTACTTCTGGCGGTGCTTGGGGGACCATATGGGATGCTGGGAAATGAACCTGGGTCAGCCACGTGCAAGGCAAACACCTTACCCGCTATGATGAGCATCTTTTCTTATGTCTGTTGCCCATCTCTGTGGTATTCTTAGCATCAACCTTCCGTGTATCTGGTGTGATGGCTGTAACACGTTTCTTTTCACAATTTTCACACTGTCCTGTCCCGATGGTCCCCTCTGCCATGGACGCAGCTGGAGCTGGCCAGTTTCTATTTTTTAAATCTTCTGCCCATTTTTAAATGTTTCTTTTTAATTTTGTCATTTTAAAAATTGTTAAGCTTTTTAAATTCTTCACATGATATAATTATATAGATTAATATTTTCTCTAATTTAGTAGAATGTATTTTTGTTATACCAATATTTTCCAGATTGTTATTCTTCCTATATGATTTCAGAGCCATGAGATGATACCCAGTTTCTTTCCTATGGCCTGTTTTCTATATTCATTGGCTTAAAATATAAATATCCTATAACTGCACAATCTAATATTGGATAATAGAGATGATTGCACAACTCTGTAAATATACTGAAAATCACTTAGTTGTTTACTTTTTGTTTGCTTTTAGGTCACACCCAGGGGCTATTCCCAGTTATCTGATCAAGGGTTGCTCTAGCCCTTTGAACTATCTCTCTGGCCTTCAACTGAGTGCTTTGAAATCGTTTATTTTATGGTATGTGAACTGCATTTCAGTAAACCTGTTACTTATTTATTTAATTTAAAATTTTTTGAAAATTTTTTTATTGAATCACTGTGAGCTACACTTACAAAACTTTCACATTTGAGTTTCAGTCATACAACGATTGAGCACCTGTTCCTTTGCCACTGTACATTTTCCACCACCAAGGTCGCCAGTATCCCTCCCTTTACCCCATCCCACCCCTCCCCTTGCCTCTAACTATGCAGACATAAATGGACAGAATTTTCCTACTAAAATACTAGGTGGAAATATAGCAAAACATTGACACTGATTCACCTTAAGTCCTGAGGAAGTGAGAGTATTTTATCTTTACCTTCAGTATTTTTATCTACATTTTTCAGTATTTTAGAAAGTATGTGCTATTATATAACTACTACTTTTATTATCAGAAATTAAATGCTGTGTTTCCTATACTTGCTTGTTTGCAGAATTTCCTTTTTCACTTCCTAAAACTAGCTCTTGGGGATTAGTCAAATAAATTCAATTTTTGATTTTTTTATTTCAAAACTTTTAATTTATGAGTGCCTATTATGTGCAAATTAGATGTTTACTCTGGGGACATAAAGATATCACCTAATATGATCTGTTGGCCTTGCTATATGTACCAATAACTTTATTTTAAATTCAAAACACCTATTGTTTTTAGTGTAATATCTTAGACATCTGGCAACTATATGAGTCCCAGAAATTTAAAAATTAAAACAAAAACATTGTTAAAATTGTTACAGGGAGACAGCTTAAAAGGCTGCTTTGCATGCAGGGAAATCAGGTTTGGTCCCCAGTATGACATGATCCCCTAAGCATCCCAGGAGTGACCCCCAAGAGCCGAGCCGGGTCGAACATGAGCCGCACCAGGTGTGCACATCCCCACCTAAAAAGGGTTCAGTGAGAGATAGCACAGCAAACCGGAGCTCACACTTTGTATGAAGAAACTTGAATGTGATCTCTATCACCACATGGACCTCAAAATACCACTAGGTGTATCCCCAGAGCAGGACCAGGTATGGTCCAAAAACTGAAACGACAGACATCAGATAACAGTTGATACACAAATGTTAAAAAGAAATCAGGGGCTCTTGGAATTACCCACAAACCAACATGGAATGTATAATTCCATGTTTTACCTTATGAGTTTTCCTTCTCCCTTTTATTTCATAAATGAAACTAACTTCAAAAATATCATTACTGAGTTTGGAGTGATAGTACAGTGGGTAGGACACTTACTTTGCATTTAGCCAACCTAGATTCAATGCACAACATGATCCCCTGAACCCCACCAGGAGAGCACAGAGCCAGGAGTAAGCCATAAGCACAGCCCAAAGAAAGACCTGCCCCCCCCCCCCCCGCAAATATCATTACAGCATCAATTAAATTCCATGGATCTCTATAAAGAAAACAAAGGCATACCTTTACTAGCTCCACAGCTCCAGAAGCAAAATCACAACAATAAAGAAAACACCCTGAAACATTCCTATGAAAACAAAATAAATGTTGACATCTAGCATACAGAAATGCTCAAACTACAGAAGAAAAAAATCAGAGTAGATTTGAACTTTTTATTAAGTATTTCTTCAGTACAATTTTGGACGATAGTTTCTTGACTCTTCTTTTGAGACACCGATTTCTACAGTGGTGTAAGGGTATCATTACGTTGCTTCTGTACTAGCACTGTCTCAAACACTCTTCACTAATGACAGAGTAACTTTCAATTTCCTGACCTGTTTTTACTGGACCTCCATTATTTAGGCCTACTTGGCTTTCATCCAATCATACTCTCACATACACTACCTCTAGGTTATATATCAGAATTGTTCCATTCTGGGGCCATAGCAATAGTACAGCAGGCAGGGTGCTTGCCTTCCACGTGGATGACCCAAATTCAATCCCCAGCACCCCCATATGGTCCCTCTGAGTATTGCCAGGTGTGGCCCCAAAACTAACAGACAAAAAAGAATATGAATTGTCCCATTCCTTCTTGCCCCTATAGGCCCTCCTTCAACTCCAACTCCTGTGTCTTATAGTTCTTCTGAGCTTACTCAAGTTCCACCCTTGGTGTCCCTTATTGCTTCATCCTCCTCTTTCCTATATATATCATTCATTTATGTCTTGGGATTATTACAGAGGCTCAAATGCCTTGATGAGGTGCAATAGCTATCAGTTTGTAAAACAACATTTAAAAAAGAACAAAACACTAAAATGCTAATTCTTTTTTCATCTTATAGTCAAACATTTGTTAAGTCTCATGTGTACCAAATATTACACAACAAATTAGTAAATAAAGTAATAAAACACTAAGAGTATGGACTTTGTTTTGGGGGGTCACATCTAGTGGTCCTCAATGGACCAAGATTAGGATCTCCCCCATGCAAAGCACTTACTTTAACTCTTTGAGTTAGCTACCTGGCCCCAAGAGGATGGATTTTGGAGCCAAAGAGACTGTTTAAATCCTGGACTTGTCACTCAAGAAGTGCCTTAGATTTGAGTGTTGCTCAAATCTCAGGCAGAGTGTTGCCATTTATTCATGTAAAATATTGACTAATTTTATCTTCCACTAAACTTAGGTAAGTTTTAATCAATCTTTACCTGAAATTCAGTGACAATAGCCGGAACACTGTTATTCACAGACTGATGTTTGCTATGAATTCTGTAGTCAGCACAATTCTGGATCCTAACTTTGGAACACACATTCTTTTTGTGTCACACCCACTCTGATCTTTACCTTCTATGCTGCTGTCAAAGAATCCATCTATCATGTAGCAAGTGAGTTAGAAAGATTTTATGTCATTAAATAGTAATTCTGAGATTACTTTAGAACCACTTGGAAAACTGATCAGTTTAGTACAGCTTTTATGGAAGAGCAGCTATGATATGGACCTTCAGGTCTTAAGATTTCGAAGGAGGGGGTTGGAATTGCTGTTCGCGGGGGATTGGTGGTAGGATTTGGAAGTGAGAGTTAAATGCCAAGTGTAAGAAGCAGAGTTGATTCTGAGGGCACTCATGGGTATGTGGCAGGGTATATAAGCCCTCAAGAACACAATGAATTCCTGATTTGATTTATGAGGCATTTCGAGCAAGAAAATCTTCTAAATAAATATGTAATACTAGCACAAATATCTCACCTGGTCTCCATTTACACTTGAATGCTACTCATTGATAAAGACCATGTTCACATATAACTTTGATACCAGGTATTTGCATTTCATTTAAGATCCCTCCAAATAGTTTAAAGTATGATGAACAGGATTTAGTTATGGAAAGTTAGCCAGAACAGAACCAAAGTCAAAATCATCACTGCTCAGGAAAATAACTCAACAGGCTGGAGCATGTGCCTGGCATACCCAGAGCTCTGCGTTCCATCTCTAGCACTTCTCGGCCTTCACAGAGCCGGGACTCTTGTTGTTGAGCCATGTCATTGCTGGGTAGGCACAAACAAAACACGAAAGTAAAACTTGCACTGAAGATCTTTTCTTATCCATTTCTTATAAAAATGGTGCATTACTCCTATTCTTTCCTAAGAAAGCTGAATGTTGGCAACTCTGTAATTTGCTGGTGGTCCTGTATGTTTTAAATGTGCTTAGCAAATACTCTGATACAGAGTACTATGCCCTAAGATGGCTAAGGGTGGGGCTGGAGCCCCACCCTTAATACAGTGGGTAAGTCATCTGCCTTGCATGCAGCTAACTGGCAGCTAACTGGGTTCCATCCCCGGTACCACATACAATCCCCTGAGCCCCGCCAGGAGTGATCCCAGAGCACAGAGCCAGAGTAGCCCCGAGCATCTGCAGCACTGGGTGTCGCCCCCAAACAAAAACAAACCAACAAAGATGGCTAAAAGGGTATGGGCTGCAATCACAGCACAAAGGAGCTTGAATCTTGGCTCTACCACTCAGTTTTGTGACCTTGAAATAGTCATGTAATCTCTTTCTGTTTCCTCATCTTTAACAAAGAGAGAAAAATGACGTCTAAGGTGTTCATGAGGAATGAATTATTTCATATAGCATCCAGAAAGGTGTCAATCTCAGAATAAGCACCAATGGAAGACAATGTTATTACTGCTTTTGTGATTATCAACATCATTACTACCATCATCATTAAAAGATCCATGAACTCTGCCTTCCAGGAAACTTGGATAGTACGAATTTAACATGGTTCTCTATAAATCTCCATATCACCTAGAACACTTTTCTGGACATGACATATCTAACTCATCATGAAGAGTAGGCACCTTTGGGCAATACTTATTATACACCCACAAGATACACATGCAAAGGAAAAGAAAGCATTTGCCGTGTGCCATGGAGCCACAGATCAGCAGTGTGACCTCTGACACTGAATTCCCACTGCATCAGCAGCTCAAGTTGAAGTCTTGTGATCACCCAATGACTTCCCAGAGCGTTTCTATAAAATCAGGTGACTGCCTTGGCCTTTCTCCCAGAAAGCAGGTGTAAATATCACCACTACTACCACATCACCAAGCACTTTCTTGGCAGGTGGTTTAAGAACTAAATGATCCTTGGAGAATGATACCACCTCTCAATTCCAAGGGTCTAATTATGGTAAAATATTCTGAAAATGTAAAACATTAATCCCATGCCCTCAAAAAACAATAAAGCATAATTTCTTAGGTGGAGGAAGAAGTCTAATCCTCCCTTTGGAAGGCTAATCACTGGCTGGTTTGCCTTTTAACAGTGAATTATCTCAGGTTATTGAGCTACAAAGTTTTCTAAAATGAGGCAAGAAAGAAAAAAGAGTCAGGGAGAAGGGAAGCAAGAGCTCTCATACTATTAGTTGGACAGAGAAGGATAAAATACAAATACGAATCAAAATATTAATTAGTGAGTATCTACTGAGCTATGACTACTTATACAGCATTATTAGGATACCTGAAAAATCAAGTAGGCTAAATATACTCTGTATATCAAGGAAAATACGCAGTAACAGGAAAGACAAGAGATTAAAAAATGACATGATTAATAATACTTTCAGATTAATAATACTTTCAGATATCATAAAGAAACACACAATCAACTAAGATCATAGCTTTAAGTATATTGTGAGTTAGAAGATTCCTGGGGTGAAGGAATCTGAGTATATGGTATTACTAAACAGGAAATATTCACTCAGAAATTGCAAAAGGAAAAGAAAAAAATAATTTAAAACACAGAATGTTTATTTAGAGTTACAAATCTGCTGGCATTATTTCTGCATGGTCCCTTTAACTGGGAATGATATTTGGGAATTATCTAGTATTTACTATGTTAGGTTTGTGATAATATTGGAGAATGACCAACCTTTTTGCAATACATTGTATCTTTGTGAGTATGCACGTATAGTGTCCAGGACCAAACCTTGGACCTCATACATGTAAGCAAGTGCTATATTGCTGAACTACACCTATAACCCAATACAGCATATCTTAAAGATAAAATTAAAGTAATACTGTTGAATTAAGGAGGATTGAGGAGGTGGGTATATGGGAATTCATGGCATTATCTATTTTGGGCAAACAATTTTATATTTTCACAGTGCAAAAGTAAGAAAATAACATAATTAAGTTTAAAAGTATAAAAAGAGGTGTATAGAGGTAGTAGCACTGTAGCACTGTCTTCCCATTGTTCATCGATTTACTAGAGTGGACACCAGTAATGTCTCCATCGTGAGACTTGTTACTGTTTTTGGCATAGAGAATATGTCACAGGGAGCTTGCCAGGCTCTGTTGTGTGGGCGGGATACTCTCGGTAGCTTGCCCGGCTCTCCGAGAGGGATGGAGGAATCAAACCCAGGTCGGCTGCGTGCAAGGCAAACGCCCTACCCGCTGTGCTATTGCTCCAGCCCTATAGAGGTAGTACAGGGGTTAAAATATTTGCCTAGCAAATGGCTGAAACCAATTTGATACCTGGCACTGCATATGGTACTCCAAGTTCCACCAGGATCACCAGAAATGATCCCTGAGTAACACTGAGTGTGGCTTCACCCTCTCTCAACAATCAAAATATGCAGAGAGAAAAACTGAAAGGAATTAGAACAAAAAATTTTATCATCAGCTATGTAAGGATAATGGGAAGGGTAGATGATTAGTCCCTTCTGCATCTAATGGAAATGTTCCACAGTGTGCTCCTTTTGATTTATAGTGACAAACTGATATGAAAATTCTTTGGGGTGGGGTGAAGTTACACCCAGAGTTGCTTACAGGACCCTGTGGTGCTGGGGACTGAACTACAGACTCCTGCATACAAAGCATGTATTCTAGACCTTTGAGCTCCATCTCTGGCCCCTTGTGTGAGAGTAATCATGTAAGAAAAAAAGAAGAGTAAAATTTGACAGATAAGCTATAGACTTGAAACTGTTGGAATTTTATCAGACACATCTTGCTGTGATAACTATTCTATACCACATTAGTGAGCATGTGAAAAGAAAAGGTGTTTCAGAAGAACTGCGTCTCTACACCTACTTCTGTTTTGTTGAATCTTAGGGTTAGTTGCTGTTATCTCCAAAATAATTTCAAGTTCCGGAAACAATCATTTTCTCCCTTTTTTTTGGGGGGGGAGGGGGACTTGCTTTTGGGATCACATTCAGTGGTATTCAAGGCTTACTCTTGGTTCTGTGCTCAAGGATCACACGGGATACTGGTGAATGAATCTGGGTTGGCCATGTGGAAGGCAAGTGTCCTACCCACGGTACTATCTCTCTAGCCCCTATGGAGACAATAATTCAAATTATTAAGCTTTTGTTTTGTTTGTGTTAGGGCTACAGTCAGTGGTACTCAGGGCTTACTCCTGGCTCTGCACTCAAGAATTACTCCAGACGGTGCATGGGGGAACGTATGGGGTACCAGGGCTCGAACCCCCTCATGTAAGGCAAGTACCTGCTGTACTATTGCTCCAACCCCTATTTTTAAATACTGTGTAACTCCAGATTTGATGACAAAATAAAACAAATGCTAAAGTATTAAGTTTTAAATTAAATTTTCTATGCATAAAATGATATCTATGTATCCTGGAAGAGGAAAGAAAAATCCCATACATCAAACAATTCACAGCTTAGTGGAAGGATCATTTCTCTTGCTGCTCTTTTCTTATTCACTTAGCCATATAATCACAAGCTTAAACAATGACTTCGACCAATTGTAGACAATCCAGGGCTAGGAAATACTATGTTCAGAGTAATTCCAGATTATATGAAACTAGACACTCAGATTTCTTTTGTAATTTGCTTTAGCCACTGTTTATATGGGAGCAAGAACACTACTGGCAAATATAGCCAACATTTTCCCAGAATTTCTCAACATCCCATACATATGTAAAATTTTATGAGAAAAAGACACTAAAACTCACTGCAAAGTATTCAGAATTGGAAAGACACTATTTCCAGCACCACAGCCAACCTAAAACCAAAACAACAAGTATATATGAGAACAAGGCTATATTTCCTCAACAATGTCAAATATTTTATTTTTTAAAAACTAGAAGATGGACTGGAGTGATAGCACTGCAGGAAGGGTGTCTGACTAGCACACAGACCACCCAGGTTCAATTCCCAGCATCCCATATGGTCCACCCGAGCACCGACAGGAGTAATTCCTGAGTGCATGAGCCAGCAGTAATCCCTGTGCATTTCCGGGTGTGACCCAAAAAGAAAAAAACCAAAACCAAAAACAAAAAACTAGAAGACATTTACTGGATCTTTGAACTGAAGAGTTTTCCAAACCAAAAACAATGAAATTAATCACAAGAATATTTTAAAATAATAACTGAAAACATTTAAAATGTTATACTCCCAAACACAGAATAAATCAAATTAAAAGATAGTCACCATACTTAAGAAAACATCTGCAATAAATATAAATGGCAGAACTTACTTGAAAAACAGATAAGCAAACAAAATATTAAATACAAATGATTTCATACCATTCATTCATAGCAGAAAAACTATCTGACCTGTTTCATAATCAAATATATGCAAATCAAAACAAGCTATAATTTTATGTAATAAAGTAGAAAGTACTAAAATAAGAATACCCCAGTCAACAAATGTACTGATGAAACAAATATACTGCTGTGAAGCAAGATCAGTTACAACTTCTTAGATAGCAATTTGGTGATATATCTTAAGAGTATTAAATATTTAGGTGCATTCTCCATCCTGGCGTTACCCACATCTTAACCTGAAAGTCTGTGTTCTCTCTTAACCATGTGATTCTCTATCTCCCTAATTATTTTTAGTAGGGCCAGAGAGACGGTACAGCGATTGGAAGTGGTTTGATCTCCAACATCACATATGGCCCCCTAAACCTGTAAGGAGTGACCCCTGAGCAGGAATAAGGCCTGAGCACTGCCAGATGTGGCTCAAGAACAAGAATTTTTTTTTAGAAAATTGTAAAATAGTAAATCTAATCCGTAATAATTTTTAAAGCACTGTAATCTATATTAAAAGATGTCTGTCGCAGAAAATCCGAAGTAATTTCACCCAGCTGTGTGAAGTAGATAAATAAAATTGTAGTACTTCACATGAATATTGGAACTATGAAACTACTTAAAATTTTTAAAGACAGAAAAGTTGCTTATTATATAATGCTAAATTGGAACAAAGTAAAAACCCCCAAAACAAGTTCAGCATGCCCAGTTATATAATTAATTATATAAGCTAAAGGAGAAAAAAAATGTAAAATGTCAATGGTGGTTAATTCCCTTCATTGACTATACATAATTTCACTTGCCCCTTTTTCTTTATAGGAAATTCTCTATGATTCATATATGCTACCTTTATAATTAGAAAAAACTTTAAAGCAGAAAACCAAGGCCTCCACTAGATTATAGCAAATCATGTATCTCACTTATTTCTATCTCATATAAAAACCAGTAATAGAGAAATGAAAACCGAAACGTTACCAGTATTTAAAACCACTATTGGGGGCAGAATGATGGTACAGTGGGTAGGGCGTTTGCTTTACATACAGCTGATCCAGGTTCAAGCCCTGGCATCTGATATGGTGTCCCAAGCACCACAGGAGTAATTTGAGTGCAGAGCCAGGAGTAAACCCTGAGCACCACCAGGTGTGTCCCAATGCCTCCCCCACCCAAAGTAAAAAAAACTCAAAATAAAAACAAAATCACTGTCAAGTTAGAAATTAAGATAACTTAAAAAAAAATTAAACCCACAAACTAATAACCCAATTAAAGATTTCAGTGCCTTAAATATCTTTAATATATGAAACCATACCAAACACATGTTTAGATATGACCATCTCCCTCCTAAAAAAAAGGTCTGGACTGTTAAAAAGTAAAGAGGAATGTACACTTTCTTTCTAATGGTAGGTGAGAGCCCATCTTTGCCCCCGTAAGTACAATACCTCCAGGATTCTGAACGTGGCCTTGCTGCCAGGGAACGGTGCTGTCCTCAGAGACTCTGTTCTGTGTTCTCTAGAGCCTTGACTGGGAAAATCAGATTCCACTTTGCTTTGAACACCTGAAATGCTACTGTTCTTACAGTGATCTTTTCCCTTGGGTATAGTAAGGCAGTGCATTCTTGAGAAACAATCTGCAGCATTAATTTTCACATGCTGGTATGTCACTTCTCTTGCCTTCTCTTCAGTTTTTTGACCAACTGGAAGAATTTCAGGAAACTCTCTCAAGAGCCAGTTGCGATCCTTGAAAAACTTATTCTTGTGAATCTTATAAAATGCATTCCAATATTTACTAGCTTCACGTTCATATTTAACTAAAAGGAAAAGGAAAAGAAGGTTAATTTTACTCAAATTCTGTTTACTATTTATAGTAAATAATATATATAGTAAATTCTGTCTACTATAAATAGTAAGTTATATGTATTATATTTACTGTTTACTGTAGGTTAATAACTACAGTTTAATAACGAAATATATTTCAAAATTAAACACTTATAAATATTATATGCTTTATCATTTATAATAGTACTACTGAATAACTTTAATAGTAGGGCGTTCGCCTTGCATGCGGTTGACTGGGCCGACCAGAGTTCGGTTCCTCCACCTCTTGGAGTGCCTGGCAAGCTACCGAGAGTATCTCGCCCACACAGCAAAGCCTGACAAGCTACCTGTGACATATTCGATATGACAAACACAGTAAACAACAAGTCTCACAATGGAGAGTTACTGGGTCTGCTCAAGCAAATCGATGAACAATGGGAGGACAGTGCTACAGTGCTATATCTGATTTGTTTTGTTTTGTGCCATACCTGGTGGTGCTCAGGGATCACTCCTGGCAGTGCTCAAGGGACCATATGTAAGATGCTGGAGACAGAACCCAGGTCATCTGCATGCAAGGCAAACGCACTTCCCACTGTATTGTCTCTTTGGTCCCTTTGCCTATTTTTTTTTTTAACTTTTAATAGTTTGTTCTAGAAAACTGAAAAGTTTATTGACATGTCAAAGGGGAAGAAACTCCCCATTCAGGGAAGAATCTGGTATAGGAGACAGTTCTATATATTTTTTAATCTCTTAAAAGTTAAAGCTAAAATAAGTATTCATTCTCTCAAAATGCTAGGTAGTCAGTCCTAACTTCATAACTCTGTATGTCTTTTAATAATTTGGCAAATAACTTTTGTATATAATCACTGAAAACTACTTTCTATAGTCTAATATTATAAGGTTAATAATAGAATCTTACCAAAAACTGGTAGGGCTCTTTGATAGAGAAAGGATACCTCATTTCTATGTCTCTGTGAATGCAATTTTATGGGACAAAATTGGTGCAAATTGGTAATGAGATAAGAAAATATGGGCTTATCAATGATGTCATTTCAGAGTTAGACTTGTCCACTGAAACCTCCATCAAGCCCCCCAGGATCCAGAGCCCAGCATCCAGTCTGGCAGAACCAGAACCACATTTCCTGACTCTTGCAATCTCAGGGCTGTTAGTAATTCCAATCTTCTGCTACTTGAAGAAGCATCTTTACCTAGTGACATTTCCCAATATAATGTATTACAGAAAACTTCTAAAGCTTATTTCTTAATTATGTTAAATTTTTTGTCCCCTCTAAACAGTGCTCAGATGTTGGTTTGTCCTTTCTGCCTTGCCACAGGGAGCTTAGGTTTACTGGGTTACTCCCATCACAGTGCTCCCATTCCTCTATGTTTATTTGTAACTTGTTTCTTTGGCTCTGTTAACTTGTAAATATTGCTTTTTTTTCTCCTTAAGTCCTTTGCATAGTTAACTCAGAGCAACGTCCTTTTTGTGTAGACACAAGAAGACAGTCAATGCTATGCTTTTGTAACTTGGGAGTTAATTGACACCAAATGCTATTCACTTGTGGGCATCTGTTCTCTCGACTTAAGCCTCAGTTGCCCTTACTTCCTAGCACCCCAAAAGCAGAGTCCCGAAGACAGACTGGATGGACCAGGATAAGCAGTGAGCTACCCTGGCATGGAAATGGGCCAGGTCAAAGTGCCGTAATACTTAACTATAAGCTAAGAGCATGGTCATGGACAAATTCTGTCATGATCCAAAAAGAAAAATTAGATAGGACCCTGCTAGGGTTAGAAAAGATTAATCTGGCCTGAGCACTATAGTCTGAGACCTATAGCGAGATGTTCCCAGGAGAGCCACCCTACAAGCTCAATGTATCTCTTACTGTGGCCATACAAAATAATATTAGGAAGTATAATTAAGATGTTGTGCTGGTGCGATAGCACAGCGGGTAGGGTGTTTGCCTTGCATGCGGCCGACCCGGGACCCGCGTTAAATTCCTCTGTCCCTCTTGGAGAGCCCAGCAAGCTACCGAGAGTATCCCGCCCACATGGAAGAGCCTGGCAAGCTCCCAGTGCCAAAAACAGTAACAACAAGTCTCACAATGGAGACGTTACTGGTGCCCACTCCCCTTGAGCAAACTGATGAACAACCATGCTACAGTGCTCCAGAATTAAGATTTAATTAAGTTATTGTACTAAGTAGAGGAGAAAAACCCCTAGGTGGTATTTATGCCCTTGAGCCTGATCATGGATCAGGAAGGGCTTTTGATATGTTGATTCTGCTACACGCAATGAGGGGGTTGGGGAGAGACAAGAGAGAGAGAGCAAGGCAGCAAGATGGAGCGTGGAGAGACTAGCAAGGGGGACAGAGGGAGAAGAATGTAGGGGAAGAGTGCAGGAGCAGGCGTGTGGAGAGACGCAGCTGCGAAGAGGGAGCGGGGAGAGATGAGTGGGAGAGATAGGAGAAGACGGGAATGAGTGGCAGTGTGAGACTGGAATGGGGAGCTTAGCGAGACTGGAACAGGCACATGGGGAGGATGGAATAAGTGGCACCTGATCACCAATGTTTCCTCCTTCATCTGCCTGTTGGCATGGGCTCCCCAGGAACAGGAAGCAGCTGGAGTCCACTGAATGCAAGGGGGGAGGCGAAGAGAGAGAGACAGAGAGACAGAGAGACAGAGACAGAGAGACAGAGACAGAGAGAGAAAGAGACACAGAGAGACAGAGAGAGCTGCGGGGCTCTCCCTAGCCGCCTTGAGATTACACACTCAGGAAGCCCAAAGGACACTGCCATGCAACTCATCTGGCAGTTCAGTGCTAGAAACTGAGGATGCCGGGAACCACCCTAGTGGTGCTCAGAGGCCTTAAAGGTGACACTCGAGCAATGCTTGGAAGGCCCTGCGGTGCCAGGATTGAACTCCTGTCCAGTACTACGTCCCTGGCATTTCCAAGCCATAAAACAACAACAAAAAAAAGGCATAAGCGCTTTGTGTTGCATTCCTTAGCAGCATTTCCTGGGGCTCAAGGTCAGGGTTAGGTCAATAATTTCAGAGCTCTGGCAAATCTTTTTTAGTTTGCTTTTTGTTTATGGTTATGTGCCACACCCACTGATACTCAGGAGTGCTCCTGGCTTTGCATTCAGTGATTATTACTGGCAATGCTGGGGATCGAACCAGGGTCAGCTGTGTGCAAGGTTGGCTGTGTACTATTGCTCCTGAACCTGACTGGAAATTCTTAGCTTTCTGCCTCTTCTACTTCAAACTTTAAATTAGTATAATAATGAAGCATCAGGAAGATGGCTCAAAAGGCTGGAGTACATGCTTTGAATGTGGAAACCCTGGGTTCAATTTCTAACACTCTGCGGCTCTCAGATCACTGCCAGGAGTTACTTCTGAGCACAATTCTGAGAGCATCTCCAAGCAGTACTGCCTTGTATAACCCCTCTCCCCATGATCAACTCCCTTCCCTACCCCATTCATTCATAAAACATTTCTTGAATACTGTTACATATGAAATCTAGTTCTTAGGCTTAATCTCTGGGTTTAGCATTTCCTTCGTCCAGTGTAGACATGTGACCTTTTCGGTTCATTTCTTTCTTGGGTCACACCCAGCAGTACCAGGAATTCATCTAGCTCTGTGTGTGTGTGTGTGTGTCTATGTGTGTATGTGTGTGTGTGTGTGTGTCTGTGTGCGCGCAGGAACTTCTGTGTGTGTATATATATATATACATATATACACATATTAACTTTGACCGTGAGTGTGGAAAGGTAGGACTACAGCTGAATCTTACGAAGACAATGTTTATGAGAAACAGCCTCGTTCCTGATGCCCCATTCGCTCTCAACGGAACGACCATCTCCGAATGCAACAGCTATGTGTACCTAGGTCGAGAGGTCAACATGACAAATGACCTGGCACCCGAGCTGCGCAGGAGGAAGAGAGCGGCTTGGAACGCCTTCAAGAACGTCGAAGAAATAGCTAAGAGGACGAAGAACCTCCGGCTCCGGGCACATCTCTTTGATTCCACTGTTCTTCCTGCATTAACATATGCCTCAGAGACCTGGGCCCTACGCAAACAAGATGAGAACGCTATTCAGGTCTCCCAAAGAAAAATAGAAAGAGCTATGCTTGGAATATCACGTTTCACTCAAATGAGAGAAAGAATCCGGAGTTCTGACATCCGTCGACGATCAAGAATCAGGGACGCTGTCTCATTTGCCAAGGTGTCGAAAATCAGATGGGCTGGTCACGTAATGAGATTTAAAGACGACCGCTGGACTAGAGCTGTTACCGACTGGATTCCACGGGATGTCAAAAGACCGCGTGGCCTCCCACCTACCAGATGGTCAGACTTCTTCGTCAAGATCATGAACGATCAGTTTGAGGCCCTTCATGTTCCCGGAGCGAACAGATGCCATTGGGCTACACTAGCACGCGACAGGAACAAATGGAGACGTTACTGGCGCCCGCTCGAGCAAATCGACGACTAACAGGAAGTTAAGTGATTAAGTGATTAAGTGATATACACATATATTTATGTACAGAATACTCCTGGAAGGATAATCGCTCAAGTATCAATAATCATTATAATCATTGCTCCTCAGGAGGGGAACTAATTGGCTGGGAGACTGAGGTTAGAGGAAAAATTTACATTCCAATCTTGATCTGTGTCAACCTACTGTCTTACCCCAAAACAAATGAAACAAAAATAAAACAAGGGACGAATGCCTCTCAAATTTTAAAGAAAACCTAAGCCTAGAGTAAGTTGTTGCCTGAATTCAGGCTCATTTTTGTTTCAAAGCCTTTTCTTAAATGTCCTAGAGTTTCCCTTTTCCTTCCATTTTTATCTTTATGACCTTGCACCACTGGCCTCCACCCATTTGGTCACAAGACTTCCTTCCCATTGAGGCTGAATTGTATTTGGCAACATGGCTGCTAAAAAGACAGAAACTCCCAACTGTATTTAAGATCTGAGAAATAAAAGTAGGTCTTG